TTCTGGAAGACTTTCAAGGAGCAATCTCAACATTTTGATTTAATTTTGTCACCCAGCAACACTTCTAGTCAGAGGAGTGCTCAGATCGTTTTGATTGATTTCACTTCAATTAATCTGTCAGCAGAAATTCGCACTTCTTGTTGGTGTTATAAGTTACCATAAGAAAGCCATAATAGGTGGGAACTTGTCTTTAATCTAATTGTATATTGGGTTTAGCCGGTATTACAGCATTCAGTGAATGGAAAGTATAAATGTGATAGCTTGTGTGTGTTAAATAAGAGTGAAAGCCCCTCGTACTTCAAGTGACTTGATGTTTTGTGTTGGGTTTTTTGCTAATTCATTTTTCTAGATTCCTCTTCAGTGGATTGTGTACGGCCACTTCAGTGTACCTCATCCTGTGAGTCTTAACTGAAGTCATTTTACTACGATAACGATATTGTTCAGCCACAACATAATTTATTGTATTAAAACCGGCAAAAGATTTACACTTTATGCGGTGCAATGTATTTTATTTGACAGTACTATATGTTTGCAGTGACTGAATACGCTCGAGTCAAGTTTAGCTTCTCTGTCTTCTTAGTCTGTTGCAGGTCGATCAGCTCGGGTAAGAGAGACTGTTTGCTTCTTGTACTGTCTGTAGATTCTTCAGTCGAAGTACTGCTGTTACAGATCTTTGTAACTAAAACCAAAAAAGCATCATGATAAGGAAAGTGACCCACGAACAGTTTGGAAATGCTACGTACGAAACACTGTGTACTAAATCTCATCGAAGTTCTGAGAAAAATGAATAAAGATACCTAAAGCAACACTGGAAACGGGTTTACAGGTCTTCATGCAACAATCTGAGTTGACATAGCAGGGGTAACCCTCTAACACACAGCATTGCAGTCCATTGAATATGCCTTGGCCAAAGTGAAGCTTCTTACTTCTTGTTTTATCTTTCAGCGGCTCAAGCTGAGAACAGAGGATAATGCTTCATGGTTAGTCAGTAACGAAACAACCATGGAACAACATTGAAACCGCATTTTCGTCATAAGTATATATAAACCGTGGTTTAAACATGAACTGAAGGAAAAGGAGATAATTTCCTAAATCAGTACATAAACTCAATGACCACATCCTTCATTCCTCGAATTCATTTTCTGATAAGTCTGATAATGTACATAGGAAAAATTTTATCGACAATGTGAAATGGAATTATCTCTGCACTAAATTATGAAGCTCCTTGTAAGAAGCAGGTCAAAAAATAACAGAAGGCTTTGTCCCGCTTTGATAATATACTTTTTACTTTAGGAGACGGAGTTCTATCTTTTTCGAGAGGACTTTGTTAGTTAATTTTCCCTGACATGATATATCTCCTTGTATCTCATGCAGGCAGAAGAATATCAATTTGGCACCAAGTCAGAAGCCTGTATGCTTATTTTTACCTATTTTAACGATACTAAAAATTACTGGATATGACCAGTATTGATAGGGAGGCGGGGGAGGGGGGGGGAGGGATACGAACTGACCATGGTATAATAAACTGTCAGTACACTCAAATTCAAGTAGCTTCAAATGGGGCGTCCATCATTTTCATTGTTTGGAATGGCCGCTTTTTGAGGTCAAAGTCGGGTTTAAGGCATACAAGACGGCGAAAAAGTTTTTGTTTCTAGTTGAGTCAAAAACAGTGGCGACGATCCACAGTAATTTTGTCAAATCAATTGGCAATATACCTATAAAGCTGCAAAAAGTTAGAACGAAGACGATTAAAAGCTAATACTTACTTCTATTCGTGGTTGTCCTGATGCCATCTCCATGTGTTCATACAGCAAGACATATCAGTATGGCAATAATCACAAAAGTTCCTCTGAAAACTGGCTTCATGGTAACTGCTTCCAATATAGTCTTCGGATAGTTTGACAAGTTCTTATGAACTTCGTCTGCTTGGTTTTGCCTTGGTGCCAACAATCCAAAAATGCACTGACCAGATGTTCGATGATATACATAATGTCATTTTAACACGGCTGTTGCGTACTTCCTGACTGAATTTGCCGGAAACGAAACAAAAAGCATTTCTCACAAGTCAAACAACCCACACATCCTGCGTCTAACAACGGGTTTCTGTTCCGTGAAGCGAAAAGAACATTCCACTACCCTCTAAAAACAAAGATGCTCAAGGCAGATTTGAAGGACCCCTTGAACAATTTACTGGAACCATATATACATTTGAGTGGAAAGTCAGAGTGGGAATAAAGCTTCCTTCACAAACACAATGTAAAGACAACGATCTGGCTAAAAATTCTCAAGGATCTTGTGGCGCCAGTATCTTTGATCCCATAACGGAGACCCACAAGATAAAGCGTTCCACTTTATTCAACAGAAAACAATAGAACGTATGGATAAGGAAAATTATTAAAGACTGGATCATTGGATAATACAATTCGAGAGTTTTTGTTGGCTTAGCCATCGTGGGTTATGAGCCATTACTCAAATACAGCTAAATATGGCAAGCGTACGCGTGATTTTTTGGGTCGTTTTTATTTTTATTTTAGTTTAGTTTTCTATATTTTAGGACGTTTTTAATAAAACAATTATTCCACTCGCGCTTGTTGGATATGACATGATAAAAGCCAACTCCGCACTACGAGCCTCGTTGGCTACCATCCATCTCATATCCAACGCGCGCTCGTGGAATAATTGTTAACTAGACAATTGAAGGTACATTAAGGATACGAGGAACTGTTTCAAAAATAGTTGTGGAATGAAACTAAAACGCGTTTTGTACAGACAACTGTTGGAAGAAAGCCAAGACACTTATAGCAAGCCCCAATATTCTTTTACATTCCTGCTGAGGTCAGTTCAGGAGACTCGTGTTTCAATCGTGTTTTATTTAGGACTACGCAAGGCAGCAAAATATCCGCGTGTATTATATCGAACCGTCGAATAGGGTGTGTTTATTTTGCCTTGCTTGCTATTAAGTCGTTGTTTTAACTTGAAGTAAAGGATCCCCAGCCACGTTCTTGTTATAAATGCAATTTATTACTACGATCTATTACGTTGTTTGGGGCGTTTTAGTTTTCGGCTGACAGCAATTGTGTGTGATCATCCTGCTCTATTGCTTTGGTGTGGTGGAGCTGGTAATAAATAACGCCAAAATTGCCCGTGTACAGCAGCCCTTGCTTCTTTGCTAAATGCAACAAATTGTTTAAAATTTGAAAAAGTTTTTGGTCAGTTTGCCTAGACCTTGAGGAGCCAAGATGGTCGTTTTGTAAGTTTCGCTTTGTTTGGCTGGCTTTCAAATGAATTATGTCTAAAAACTTGCCGGATAAGTACACGTCCCCCATCAGGTTTAGCTCAATAAAAACCTCTCGTCGTTTAGGTGGAAAGTCATCAAAAAATAAATATAACAAATGCCCCTGTAAGGATATAACAGTGAAAATCGCTTCCTATTGTTCTTAACCCGGAAGTTCCTAGAGGACCGAGCCACCGCAAATGTCCTCGAACCTGATGGTGTTTTGTCCACCGTGAAAAGTGTTAAGAACAATGTTGGCAATCTGCTATTATTGTGTTTATTCGATGTTTCCGATAAGAAAGCGCAAATTACTCCGTTGAAGCACTATCAGAAATGAACTCGACAATATTGTTATTGCATTTCGAGTTTCTTTGGAGTGGTGTGTTTTAACGCGACCGAGCCACGCTGGTTGGTTTTAGCTTATGTTAATACATGTTCCTAATATAATGTTCAGCGAGTTGTAAATGTGCAGCAAGTTTATTTTTAAAAAGACTTTTCATCTGGAACTGAAATGTTAAGTTGAATTTCTTAGACTTCAACTTGTTCAGTAAAATTTCGTCGGCCCTTGCAACGGTAGTACACCCACTAGAAATTGTTCCCTCTTTTTCCGACTAGTTGTCGCACATTCAATGCTTAACCACATATCCACCAAGCGTTCATTACCTACCTTCAACAGCTGGTCGCGTCACATATCCCGGCACCCACCCCGTGTCTGGAAAATACTCCCACTTGGAATTAACCGGCTGCCACATCTTCATCGAGCACAGGGGTGAGGGAACTGGAGACGACCTGACTTTATGTGAGCGCGCTGATCCTTTTGCCGTTTCCAAGCGCGCTATGTGTCGAACAACAACATTGTCAACAATCTCCTCTCTGTAAGTTCGCCAGTCGCTATGCTGGAGATATGTCTGGCATAAAATGGTATCCTCGGGATACGTAGCAGTCAATTGTTTGAGTTTATCAAGAGTTACAGTGTCCGAATATTTAAAGAAAACTTCCCGAGTTACTTTAATCACTTCGCAGCCTCCACTGACTAAAGTGAAACGTCTTTCCCTGGGTTTGTTCTCTTTCTTGGACTGTCTTTTGATGCTTTTCACTTTGTTTAACTCTCCTTCATTTTGTTCGTTTGAAGAGCGAATGCTTTCGGCGAATGGTAAGCATTTATCTTCCTGCTCTAACAAAGACCAAGCACCCTGTGATATATTGAAACAAAAACTCGATTACGCCATGTTTACCGACTGTTTGTTAAATATGTAATTGTATGACATGGCTAGCTATGAGGAACAATAAAATGCCCTTATTTTATATAAAANTTTTTTTTTTTTGCAGGGAATATTTTATTATTTCCCCTGGGAAATAATAAAATTTCAAATTCCCCACCCCTGGGATCAAGACGTAAGCAAATGCGCGGCTATTCCCCAAGGGGGTGGGAATTGACTGATGCATAAGGTTCGGTAGTGTTATCAAGGACTTTCATCACCGTAAAGCCGAATGGCAGTACACAAACGGCTAGTCGGAAAATCGATAGGGTTAGAAAGAACTCATACTTAGAGTAACAAATGGAAAGAGCGTGTATTTTCCTTGCAAACGTTGTGTGCCCACGAAAGTTAGTAATCTGCGATACATGAAACTGGAAACTTGAGTTAGGGCGCCAGTAGTAGTAACTCATTACGACTCCCTCTCGTATCACAAGTTTCTGATGCCAAGTGATTGTTGTCTGAGTTACCACTTTTTGAATTAACGCGTAATCTTTTTTACTCTCAGAGAGTTACAATGCCAGGCCCTGCAACAAAACATATCGTCATTCCTTGCGAAGCAATCTCCATGGACAAACATACATGTGCGTACACTCCCAACGTCATGTGTGTTAACCCCGGCTAGGTGCACCCCACAATTGTAAGGTAGAAAGGCCCCGGATTAACGATTAACACCACCATCAAAATGCACTTCCAATTGTAGTCAAAGATACAAACAGTGACGATAAAATTGAATGACTTTACTATTTGGCTTGAAATTCATAAATACCTTCACTTGGTGACTCTAATAAATAAAGTTAAATGAAAGGAATCCTGATTATCAAACAAACTGACGCCGTTGCGACATAACGATACCATGGCGAAAAAACAAGTAACTGTTCGAAGATGATGTTAACTCCACACTGATATTTGTCGAGCGCAGATTATTAAGTTTTTAACTGTCATTAAATAACATAAATACTAAATTCGCATGACATGACTTTCATGGATTGCGAACCACAGAAGTTCAGTCCTTGTTAAAACGTTGTCATGTTACTTTACCAAAATATTGGTTTGTTTTCTTCATATCATGCTTGTTGATAATTCTTCTCTCGATCTGAAGTTGATAATCATTACATCTACTCCCCCCTTGGGTGAGTACCAGTGCTCTCTGGCTCCCTTGCGCCAGTACCAGGTCATTTGTTACCAGTGGCAGAAGCTTTTCGGACGATTTCGAGGCGCCTGCTGGAGACGGGATGGGAGACCCGCGCGGCGTCCCGTACGAAGCAGGAGACCATTTCCTTAATGATGGGCTCTGACTTCGACTTGAAGCGGGAGAACGATTTAAATTAGCCGCACGATTTGGTCGTGAAGTTCCAGCTGAAAGAGGATAAAATAAATTATATTTAAATTGACTCTCAGTTGAGTTAAGCTTGTTGTTACTATATCAAGAGTCTAGTCTCAGTTATCAGTTAAATTTTCAACCCATTCAAATCTCAACTATCAGATAAAAACGCAGCAGTTCTCAGTTAACGCTTAAAAAATGTTGGCCAATTCTTAGCTACAGTTAAGTCCCATCTAGACTCTCTATATTTGCTCCCCTGTCACACTCTGAACCAAGAAGTTAACAAAAGTGCCCACTCTGCGCTAATCATTCTTTTAAATGTCATAATACGAATAAAATTAAGCTGAAAGAACTCATAAAATGTTGAATACATTTAATACAGTTGAAGCCCGCTATTTAGAACTCTTAGGAAACAAAAATATAGTTTGAAAATGGCGGCGGCTCGAAATAGACAATAGTAATTGAATGACGGCCAAATCCAAGGGAAATGGCTTTGAGTTCAAAATAACGGGGAATTCGAAATTGCCGAGTTCAAATTAGCTAGACTCAGCTGTACTTTATTCGTCACTGAACTAATGGTTAGTGCAGTAGTCTCCGGATCGAGCGAGCCAGATTCGGGCCTTGGCCAGGGTAACAGTGTTGTGTTCTTGGGCAAGATACCTTACCCTCACAGCGCCTATAAATGGGCACTGGCAAATCATTGAGGCAACCTGACAAGACAGAATGCTGGGGTAATCCTGCGATAGACTCAGTAGCATCCCATCCAGAGGGGAGTAGCAATACTCCTAACCACTTCATTCTACTGAAACTGCGGTTAAACGCCATCCGTAGTCATGAGCCATCTCAGTGACTCCTCCAACTCATAGCATTGGAATTGACTTTACCCTTTCGTTTTTATCCCGCACTGGACACCAGTTGTTGTTGTTTTTTTTTTTTTCTGGAAGACTTTCAAGGAGCAATCTCAACATTTTGATTTAATTTTGTCACCCAGCAACACTTCTAGTCAGAGGAGTGCTCAGATCGTTTTGATTGATTTCACTTCAATTAATCTGTCAGCAGAAATTCGCACTTCTTGTTGGTGTTATAAGTTACCATAAGAAAGCCATAATAGGTGGGAACTTGTCTTTAATCTAATTGTATATTGGGTTTAGCCGGTATTACAGCATTCAGTGAATGGAAAGTATAAATGTGATAGCTTGTGTGTGTTAAATAAGAGTGAAAGCCCCTCGTACTTCAAGTGACTTGATGTTTTGTGTTGGGTTTTTTGCTAATTCATTTTTCTAGATTCCTCTTCAGTGGATTGTGTACGGCCACTTCAGTGTACCTCATCCTGTGAGTCTTAACTGAAGTCATTTTACTACGATAACGATATTGTTCAGCCACAACATAATTTATTGTATTAAAACCGGCAAAAGATTTACACTTTATGCGGTGCAATGTATTTTATTTGACAGTACTATATGTTTGCAGTGACTGAATACGCTCGAGTCAAGTTTAGCTTCTCTGTCTTCTTAGTCTGTTGCAGGTCGATCAGCTCGGGTAAGAGAGACTGTTTGCTTCTTGTACTGTCTGTAGATTCTTCAGTCGAAGTACTGCTGTTACAGATCTTTGTAACTAAAACCAAAAAAGCATCATGATAAGGAAAGTGACCCACGAACAGTTTGGAAATGCTACGTACGAAACACTGTGTACTAAATCTCATCGAAGTTCTGAGAAAAATGAATAAAGATACCTAAAGCAACACTGGAAACGGGTTTACAGGTCTTCATGCAACAATCTGAGTTGACATAGCAGGGGTAACCCTCTAACACACAGCATTGCAGTCCATTGAATATGCCTTGGCCAAAGTGAAGCTTCTTACTTCTTGTTTTATCTTTCAGCGGCTCAAGCTGAGAACAGAGGATAATGCTTCATGGTTAGTCAGTAACGAAACAACCATGGAACAACATTGAAACCGCATTTTCGTCATAAGTATATATAAACCGTGGTTTAAACATGAACTGAAGGAAAAGGAGATAATTTCCTAAATCAGTACATAAACTCAATGACCACATCCTTCATTCCTCGAATTCATTTTCTGATAAGTCTGATAATGTACATAGGAAAAATTTTATCGACAATGTGAAATGGAATTATCTCTGCACTAAATTATGAAGCTCCTTGTAAGAAGCAGGTCAAAAAATAACAGAAGGCTTTGTCCCGCTTTGATAATATACTTTTTACTTTAGGAGACGGAGTTCTATCTTTTTCGAGAGGACTTTGTTAGTTAATTTTCCCTGACATGATATATCTCCTTGTATCTCATGCAGGCAGAAGAATATCAATTTGGCACCAAGTCAGAAGCCTGTATGCTTATTTTTACCTATTTTAACGATACTAAAAATTACTGGATATGACCAGTATTGATAGGGAGGCGGGGGAGGGGGGGGGAGGGATACGAACTGACCATGGTATAATAAACTGTCAGTACACTCAAATTCAAGTAGCTTCAAATGGGGCGTCCATCATTTTCATTGTTTGGAATGGCCGCTTTTTGAGGTCAAAGTCGGGTTTAAGGCATACAAGACGGCGAAAAAGTTTTTGTTTCTAGTTGAGTCAAAAACAGTGGCGACGATCCACAGTAATTTTGTCAAATCAATTGGCAATATACCTATAAAGCTGCAAAAAGTTAGAACGAAGACGATTAAAAGCTAATACTTACTTCTATTCGTGGTTGTCCTGATGCCATCTCCATGTGTTCATACAGCAAGACATATCAGTATGGCAATAATCACAAAAGTTCCTCTGAAAACTGGCTTCATGGTAACTGCTTCCAATATAGTCTTCGGATAGTTTGACAAGTTCTTATGAACTTCGTCTGCTTGGTTTTGCCTTGGTGCCAACAATCCAAAAATGCACTGACCAGATGTTCGATGATATACATAATGTCATTTTAACACGGCTGTTGCGTACTTCCTGACTGAATTTGCCGGAAACGAAACAAAAAGCATTTCTCACAAGTCAAACAACCCACACATCCTGCGTCTAACAACGGGTTTCTGTTCCGTGAAGCGAAAAGAACATTCCACTACCCTCTAAAAACAAAGATGCTCAAGGCAGATTTGAAGGACCCCTTGAACAATTTACTGGAACCATATATACATTTGAGTGGAAAGTCAGAGTGGGAATAAAGCTTCCTTCACAAACACAATGTAAAGACAACGATCTGGCTAAAAATTCTCAAGGATCTTGTGGCGCCAGTATCTTTGATCCCATAACGGAGACCCACAAGATAAAGCGTTCCACTTTATTCAACAGAAAACAATAGAACGTATGGATAAGGAAAATTATTAAAGACTGGATCATTGGATAATACAATTCGAGAGTTTTTGTTGGCTTAGCCATCGTGGGTTATGAGCCATTACTCAAATACAGCTAAATATGGCAAGCGTACGCGTGATTTTTTGGGTCGTTTTTATTTTTATTTTAGTTTAGTTTTCTATATTTTAGGACGTTTTTAATAAAACAATTATTCCACTCGCGCTTGTTGGATATGACATGATAAAAGCCAACTCCGCACTACGAGCCTCGTTGGCTACCATCCATCTCATATCCAACGCGCGCTCGTGGAATAATTGTTAACTAGACAATTGAAGGTACATTAAGGATACGAGGAACTGTTTCAAAAATAGTTGTGGAATGAAACTAAAACGCGTTTTGTACAGACAACTGTTGGAAGAAAGCCAAGACACTTATAGCAAGCCCCAATATTCTTTTACATTCCTGCTGAGGTCAGTTCAGGAGACTCGTGTTTCAATCGTGTTTTATTTAGGACTACGCAAGGCAGCAAAATATCCGCGTGTATTATATCGAACCGTCGAATAGGGTGTGTTTATTTTGCCTTGCTTGCTATTAAGTCGTTGTTTTAACTTGAAGCAAAGGATCCCCAGCCACGTTCTTGTTATAAATGCAATTTATTACTACGATCTATTACGTTGTTTCGGGGCGTTTTAGTTTTCGGCTGACAGCAATTGTGTGTGATCATCCTGCTCTATTGTTTTGGTGTGGTGAAGCTGGTAATAAATAACACCAAAATTGCCCGTGTACAGCAGCCCTTGCTCTTTGCTAAATGCGACAAATTGTTTAAAATTTGAAAAAGTTTTTGGTCAGTTTGCCTAGACCTTGAGGAGCCAAGATGGTCGTTTTGTAAGTTTCGCTTTGTTTGGCTGGCTTTCAAATGAATTATGTCTAAAAACTTGCCGGATAAGTACACGTCCCCCATCAGGTTTAGCTCAATAAAAACCTCTCGTCGTTTAGGTGGAAAGTCATCAAAAAATAAATATAACAAATGCCCCTGTAAGGATATAACAGTGAAAATCGCTTCCTATTGTTCTTAACCCGGAAGTTCCTAGAGGACCGAGCCACCGCAAATGTCCTCGAACCTGATGGTGTTTTGTCCACCGTGAAAAGTGTTAAGAACAATGTTGGCAATCTGCTATTATTGTGTTTATTCGATGTTTCCGATAAGAAAGCGCAAATTACTCCGTTGAAGCACTATCAGAAATGAACTCGACAATATTGTTATTGCATTTCGAGTTTCTTTGGAGTGGTGTGTTTTAACGCGACCGAGCCACGCTGGTTGGTTTTAGCTTATGTTAATACATGTTCCTAATATAATGTTCAGCGAGTTGTAAATGTGCAGCAAGTTTATTTTTAAAAAGACTTTTCATCTGGAACTGAAATGTTAAGTTGAATTTCTTAGACTTCAACTTGTTCAGTAAAATTTCGTCGGCCCTTGCAACGGTAGTACACCCACTAGAAATTGTTCCCTCTTTTTCCGACTAGTTGTCAAGCTGGCATGAAGTCACGGAGATAAATTATCCTGACTGTCATTTACTAACCACCCTCGATAACCAGTGCAATGAGACTGCTTATATGGCCCCAAAGAAAACAATCTATACATACAAAATTATGAAATCAGTGACATGCGCGCGGAGAAAGTCGTGCGAAATTACGAGTAGTCATGGTTTGCATCTGATTGGGAGAGGAGACAACATATTCGTCGTGATTCGATAGAATGTGCACGAGATCTTTTTTCAGCAAAATGCCAAGCTCGTCCATTTACTCAGGCGGTTAAACATATCCTTATTCACACATTCAATGCTTAACCACATATCCACCAAGCGTTCATTACCTACCTTCAACAGCTGGTCGCGTCACATATCCCGGCACCCACCCCGTGTCTGGAAAATACTCCCACTTGGAATTAACCGGCTGCCACATCTTCATCGAGCACAGGGGTGAGGGAACTGGAGACGACCTGACTTTATGTGAGCGCGCTGATCCTTTTGCCGTTTCCAAGCGCGCTATGTGTCGAACAACAACATTGTCAACAATCTCCTCTCTGTAAGTTCGCCAGTCGCTATGCTGGAGATATGTCTGGCATAAAATGGTATCCTCGGGATACGTAGCAGTCAATTGTTTGAGTTTATCAAGAGTTACAGTGTCCGAATATTTAAAGAAAACTTCCCGAGTTACTTTAATCACTTCGCAGCCTCCACTGACTAAAGTGAAACGTCTTTCCCTGGGTTTGTTCTCTTTCTTGGACTGTCTTTTGATGCTTTTCACTTTGTTTAACTCTCCTTCATTTTGTTCGTTTGAAGAGCGAATGCTTTCGGCGAATGGTAAGCATTTATCTTCCTGCTCTAACAAAGACCAAGCACCCTGTGATATATTGAAACAAAAACTCGATTACGCCATGTTTACCGACTGTTTGTTAAATATGTAATTGTATGACATGGCTAGCTATGAGGAACAATAAAATGCCCTTATTTTATATAAAAAATAAAAAATAAAACTGATGCAACACTCGAACGAGAATGAGAGAGCCCGTAGGTCTTTGCCTTACTGTCCTTACAGTTCGGGATCACCTGACAGACTCTTTCTTTAGTACATCGATCAGTTTCTCTTTCTCTTCCTCCTGACAACACATTTTAGGGAACAGCCCGGTTTAAATTTATGAAAGTTGATGCGGTTTACAGGAGAAATATCTAAAAAAGAAAGGAAATGTTTCTCCACCTGCAGAAGCACGTTTGCCGAAGGCGTGTCCGAGGTATCAGCTGAAATCACATGTTCGGATAATTCGTTCAACACGCAAAGGGCATACAAGCAATGTATTATACTTACAAAGCACTGGCCTGGTCTTAGCCGATCCACCATCATATAAACCCCAACACCAACTTTATCCTCTGCTCGCTTTCCATCAACCACTCCCTCGTCTTCGATGGTGCTATAAACAGGCGTGGGTTCGGAAAGCCTTTGCTGGGGTTCGACAGATCTTCGCTTGAGTTCGGAAGTTTGCAAGCACCCTTGACCTACTGCAGAATTCTGATTTTCCTCAACTCGGAAACTCACTCGTCCTTTCGGTGATTTCCCTGCCGTGTTTTCGGAGTGCAAGATCCCTTTCTTGGAAGCCTGATCCGCTGTTATCACTGCTGTGCGATCGACTCGGTATAAAATGGACGATTCAGACTTCGCCTTTCTGCGTGGAGTAGTTACTTTTTCTGAGCTTTCTACAGTAGATTCTTCTTCGGGACTCTCCAATCTCTGAGGGACTCCTCGTAACACGACTGAGCTCAAAGAAATGTCATCGATTGTAGGACTGTAAGTAGATGAAGACGCATCGTCGTGTATTTTCTCCATTCTGTATTTTAGGGCATGGTCGATGTATTCCTTGCAATTGCTAAGGTCCAACAGTCTCAATACGTCACATTGCCCCTTTGTCAAGAAAACAACACAAATTTATTCATTCAGTCTGTAAAAACGAGCGCTCTAAAAATGTTTGTGTAATTCTATAACATCAAGAAAGGAGCGCGAGAGAATTCACCCTTGAATATATAACGCAAAGTATGCCTCGTAGAAATTTCTAACAGAAATGGAAAACATTTCCTGTGGGTTTCTATCGAGTGCACCTCATGTCCATGTTGATCTTTTTGTATCTCAACAAATCAAAATGCGCGATTTTTTTTTTCTTTTTGGAAGATTTCTGATAGTCTGAACGGTAGCCATTGCATGGATTCGTGACTCGCTTCAGACCGCCTCTGCGCAGAAAGGGCACTAGGCAGTTCAGGAGACAGCATGACCGAGTGGTTTAGGGTGCTGGTCTCGTAATCGGGGCGGGAGGGAGGGGGACTCTAGCCCTCCTCCTTGATTTATTCTCGGTGGTTCCGGGTTCGACTCCTTGGTGACGTTTTGCTGGTCTGCCAACTGGTCTGCCTCCTACCAGTTGGGATTTTGTGACTATGTTATCTTTGCTTGTAATATTTGATTCAGAATTCGTTGCCATTGGCCCTAAAAAGCCCCTCTGTGGAGTGATTAATAAAGACATTTATTTACTTTAAATCATGTCCCATTGTCCGTGTGTTAGGGATAATTGTCCTCCACCTTAAGCAATGGCTAATCAGTAAATTTACCCTGTGTGGTACTAATCGAAACTCTTGCTTATGCAAACTTTCGAAATTGACCTTTTTACCTATACGGCGGCCATTTTAAATTCCATTGTTTCAAATAGCTATTATGGGATGCTCAGGACATAATTTGCCCCCTGACCATCCTATAAAAGCTATTTGAAACAATGGAATTTAAAATAGCTGACGTAGAGGTAAAACGGTCTTTTCGCCTAAATTTTTCTGCATGGTGAGGTTAATACAAATGTTAAATACATTCAGTACTCCGCAATGTAAGTAAATAGCTGAAAATCTGCAAGCGTCGTATACTTGCAAGAATCAACACTTTTCAATACTCCGCTTTGAGTTTCCAGTTCTCAGAATTCAACCACTCCTACACCTCAAGCGTCAGATGTCATCAAGCTAAATTTAGTGATTACTCGACCCTCATCGCAGTCCCAGGACTTTACCTTTGTAATAAATATTATCCAGTGCAGCTTACAGGAGTCACGAACAATCACTTCATCACTGTTATAATCTTGAAGTCTGCTTTCTTCTGCAACCTGTTTTACAACATCTTCAGGCCACGTTCTAAACACGGGATGTTCTCTGCAGAAAATGGCAACAAATTTATCAGAACTTGAGTGATAATTGAACTTGTAACCAGCGATAGCAGTGGAAACGCCCTGTAAACTTTTAAATCACCTTTAATTTGGTCTTCGCACTTGATTGTATGGGAGATGAAAAGGCTAATGACTTCTAACTTAGTTTCACAAGTTCATTCAATAACAGTCGGCTGAAATATTATTAATTCTTGGTTATTTTTTGGAATGGCTTGCATCGAGACCCAGAGTACCGGCGAAATTTACGGGCACCCCAACACAAAATTCTGGAAACAATAAACTAGATCCCCTCTAGGAGAAGCAGTAACTATTCTCTAAGATACCGTCGTTTTCTCTTGATAAGCGATCGGACATAAAACAGCGTTTTATTCAACACAAAATAATTTTGACTGTTTTACGAGGTTTCTCTGTACATGTATTTCCCTAATTCAATATCCTGTCTCTTCTTACTTGAGATACTCCACCCTCCTTTGCATGTCCGCGTTAAAGCTCAAGTCAATCTTGGCAGAAAAGAAATCCTCTTTTTCCACTGACAGTAACTCGGTTCTCTCCAAACAAACCACGGTAGCGGCCCTCTTAAGCCCTCTAATAAAAGCCAGTTCCTGTTAAAAAAGGGTAAAAATAATAAATGGTCCTAAATGTTGTGATTCAGCGAAGAGTTAATTTTGTGAAGAATGTGATTACAGGGGGGGGGGGTCTATACATTGTGCTCATATTAATTTGGTTTTAGGATTTACCGCCTGGCAGAAACGTTGTTTGGTTCAGGGACAAGGTACTATGTTCTCGCTCACGCAGTGTGGGAGTTAAAAAAATCGATCTGTTTCCTGTCCTTTATAAATCTCGTCAAGGCTCAAGACTTTTAATCGTATAAAAACTGTTATACCAGCATTACCTCCACATTACCTCAACCCAGCTTGCAATAATTGTTGTAACGAGGGGGTTTATGATTTCAAGCGAAATAGATTTTTCTAGGTAGAAAAAAGTTTAGCGAACAATGAAATTTTACATGTGTATGCTCAACTACACTTTACAGTACCTGTACCTGTACAGTAAAACGTCTCATTCATAAAGTCATCACAGGCACACCACACATAATGCATGCACGTACACAGTACATACCCCAAAGTGGTCCCCTCTCTTGAGTACAGCATTGTCTGTTGGTTTGGCAAATGCGCTGTGTTCATCATCATCTACTGTGACACACACTGAGCCGCTGAAAATGAAGTAGAAACGCTGGGCCACGTGACCTTTTCGTACTACCACTCGACGTCGACCAAAGCTGTTAAAAAAAAAAATGTGACACATTCATTTCACCTAAAAATCACATTTCGCGGAACAAAGGAACTTTTGTATAGCCAAGAATTCAAGGGACAAGACATAAACATTTCCTTAGTATGGAAGTGATCGTTGCACTGAGTCAGTCACTAACAGAGCAGAGTGGAGCAAGTGAATCAAAGGATACATCGGACAAATTATGGAAAAAGAGAGAAACGCAGTGACGTCTAACAAACGCTAAGTTACAAAATAATTTACCACGTTGAGCTGCAATGGGGCAAGCTTAAGGAAATCGCCATAATAATAAATCTAGTTGCTTCCTGGTGGAATTCCTAATTTGATTTGTTCGCACCTTAACGGGATTCGAGATTTACCAGTAATAATCCAAAAGCAGATTGTATTTCTTCTTGTTGTTTAGCCCTCATGACCTACAGTATTTGCATACTGGACTGCTTACCAATCGTATTTGAGCGCCCCACATATCGCTTCCTGTATCTTGGAGCTGTATCTACGAAAACCTTTCAGTTGTTTCATCAGTTGCACGATAGAGTGGATTTCTTGCTTCGTCCTCTCCTCTGGTTCTTTGCAAGCAATTTCTTTGGCCCAGCTTGGCATTAAAAACTGAAAATAAGAGCAGAAATACATTTGCCTAACGATAAAACGAACACAAAACATCGAATACGTACGTTGTTCTCGTTTGCATGACGTTTTGTTTTGGCCCGTCATATGGCCCTCAGCATATAGCGAACCTGTCCCTTTTTGGTAATGGCTGGCTATTTCTTAACACTGCCTTATTAAGAGAGATCATTTTTAAAAAGGAAATTTCTTATCATATGCGGCCACGGCTATCAACTGAACACAAATCAATTTTACTAAAAAGAAAAAGTCACATCTGATGATGTTAATTGTTGGAATGACTCTAGCCTGCGTAGCAAGCGTTTCTGTGGGGTTCGGGAGCAAAGAATCGCCCCATTTTCCGCGCAGGTAAAACACCGAAAATCCCGTTCCTCGGTCTTTCTTTGCTTCCAAACCCCACGGAAACGCTTGCTACGCAGACTAGAATGACTCTTGTCACAAATTTGCTGCAAAGCATGTAGCGCTCGTAGGTTGTAATGTGGAAGAGAAAACGACATGTTAAAGCGGCTTTCAACCCTACTTTATCGCACCTCAAGAAAAGGAAAAAAGGAGTCCTAAGGGTAATTTCTCTTTTCGTCAGGGCATGCGCAAATCGTAGGATTGTGAACTGGGCGACTGTCAAGCTCTAGTCATAACAATAGATCATCAAACGATTTTAGCCGACTTTATAGACCCTTTGCATAAATGTCGCCTTCATTGAAATAACAGTACTTATACATCCTTAGCCTCACATTCATGTAAAGAAAATCCTTTGTCTTGAAACATGAGTACGAGACTAAGGATGTATAAACTATTGCCATTCAAATTCAGGCGCCATTTATGCAAAGGATCTATTAACCCGCAAAAACACAATTATTACAATAAAGTACGATTGAAACTGCTTACATAAAAATGGAAATTAGAATTACTACCTCCGAACAGGGAACTGACACTAAGTACATTATAATTTACCTCATGGTGGCATTTGTAATGTTCTGGATCAAACATTAAATTCTCCATAGCACCCTTGGCGGCAGCACTTTTTAAGCTGAGTGTAGCATCAGAAGTGACTTGCTCGTATTGACCTTTCTCCATTGCGTAATGCACGATGCTCCGAAACGCCGTGTTACACGTTAAGATCTAGAAGAGACGTCAGTCAGAGAAAGCATTCAACGTAAAAGGTTCATTTCTAGCACCAAAATAAAACTCGCAAAAGTACAGAATTGCTATTGGTAGGATGTGAAGATGGCGAACGGGAAATGGATTGTAAAGTGCAACCTAAAGCTCCTGTTTTCAGACCAGTTGGTGCTAGATTAATGTGAAACGGTTTGAATCTGAGAAAATCTTCCTTATCTGATTTTATCGCATAAAATCCCATAAAACATCATGCTTCGGTTTTATTTGTGAAATGTAATTATCGGCGAGGACAAAGATGGAGCTTTATTTGTTAAGTGATTACTTAATGAGGATTGAACCAAAGAAATTATTTTATGTAACAGGTAACGATGAGGTCGTAGTTGAATCGATAAACTTACCAGCCTTACAACACGCCTGAATCGATCCAGAGGCTGAAAAAATAAAATATAGTATTACCTGTGATATTAAAAGTCAAATCAGATGAAAAAGGCTTGCACATAAACCTACCACCTACTGCGCACCAGTATATTGAGCTTGGATGGTATTAGGTATGGGGCTCCGCTCGCGCGTCTTCCGCGCGCAGGCGCTCCGCTATTAAAATACTCCAAGTTCATCTGCTTTTAAGCAAATTAAATGCTGCATCTAAATTTTTTATCGCCAAGTATCACAGAAAATTAGCTGTCTGTTTCCGGACTAGCGTGAAGTTTTCTGAGATTCAGTTTAAAACTAAAAGACAAACCGGAGGCTACAAAGAAACAGGAACACAAAGTTTTGCTGGTGTGGAAATGAAAAGGGATTCAAAGATTGAAATATTTAGGGTACAACTGAAAAACAAAAAGAATTAACTAATATATATTTGTGTGTGTGTTATTGAACTAGCGTAAGGTCCGTATTGGAGAAATATTGGTCGAATTGTTTTTTGTTGTTGTTGTTTTTTTTTTGCAGGTTTATCTGTTTGTGGTCCATCTTAGCGGTCCGTATTGGAAAATTCGGACCGCTAAGAGAACCAATCAGAATTTTCCTTTTTATCGCAGACCAGTTTAGCCATACAATAAAGGTTTGTAATCATTGGTTTACATTTGTGGTCATTGATGTCTTCGTTTATAGTAACGCTGAGGTAGTCGCTGAAGAAACCATTAGATTCTTCCGCGTATAAAACAGCAAGGTACATGATAACACTCTACAAACCTGCAGCTTCTCTTTGCTTTTCCTCCGAAGGTCTGCCTGTGAAACGAAATAGTTTATTGTTTACATTTTATATATATATTTTATTTGAACAATAGAACATAACTCGCATAGCTACCCATTGAAAAAATAACATGAACACAATTGAATTGATAAAGCTGAAAATACTACTTCGAGTATACCGGTAATTACATTTTCGGTGGCTTCTGTCCACCTTAAACAGGGCTACAATATAAAAAGGTTCGTTACTGCTACCGCTATAAAAACATTATTTAAATTACTAAGATGTAAAATGGCTCAAGCTCTTTGGAAAAAGAAACGTTTTCTACCTTTATCTATTTCAAGTCCGAGTACGGGAATTTTTCTGGTATTTGTTATAGCTTGACGGATCAGTGATAACCCGCGAAGAAAGCATCGGCATTAGTTGTCGGGTCAGAAAAAGACCTTTATGTAGTTGTTCCAAGCGCTGGGCCAGACGCTAGACGTAGCCTTGGGCAAAAAACAAATCCGATTACTTGTAATCGCGGCTTTGTTACAAGAAATGAAAGTACAGATCAAAACAAAGCGCCAATACAAACATCTTAATTCTCGAGGGTGTTGAAAGCTTTTGTATCAACATAATCGCGTGAATGTTATTCAAGGTTATTTTATTGACATTTTTATCATCGCAAAACTTGATATATTATTGGCTTTTTATGCCGTTGTTTATCAAGTAAGCGATAAATTTCTCTCATTTAAAGATTCCCTGCAGTGCAGCAGTCTGTGACTATAGTCTTGTTCGTTTTTTGCAGTCCAGTCCCTCATATATCAGACTGAAGAACCTGGCCGTCATTTGGTGAAGTCATTTGATTAAAGCAAGCAACCCTTTTCTCGTATTTCCTGATTGAATTGTTCGGAGATGTTGAAAGAAAGCCGTCATCAAAGTCTCGGAATCTAAACTTATGATTACTTACGACTGTCTTCACCTTCGTGGAAGCATGCATAGCACCCACATGAAAATTACTTCATGTGGAAAAAAGCCATCAATATAGAACAATTATTTAAAGTATGTACAAATCGATCCTCTTAAATCCGAATCATGACCCGTTACATTCTTTCAAAGTCAGGAGCAATAATAAACTTCAGACAGAGCCGAACGTGACAAAATTCACAACACTATTGATTTCGATGGATATTTACACTCACTAACTGCTTGCATGATATATTTTTCTCTCTTAAGTTAACAAAAAGATTGAACAGTGTTATAAATTGTTTAGATAACTGACAAACTTTTGTCACGCGATTTCGCAGAATTCACGCGAACAAATGAAGACTGAAACATGGTTGTTCGCGCTGAGTATATACATGCACATGAGTGAACTATTATAGCCAGTTTGGATTGTAAATCAAGAGTACAAGTTTTTTCTTCAGTAGTTGGATTGAAAACGTGCTAAAGAAAAAACACCGTTGACTAATTGCGCCGGTTCGCCCCAGGGTTCGTGCACGCTTGTTGTTGTTAGATACCATAGATACAGCAAGGTTTAATCCTCTGAGCAATTTGCGCTCACAATTTTTCCAACAGGCTTACCTGCTTTTTCTCGTATTCTCTCAACCACTTTTTAGGTACATTCATCTTCATGTAATCGACAAATCGCCCTGTTTTGTGTCTTTCAAACTGATGCCCGTTATACCTGGTAGGGTGTGAAGACCTGCGGTCATCAAACGACAGCTTGGACGAGACAGATCTCTTTTTCTCGGTTTGCAAAGAGCTCCTTCTAGTCCCACCAATCACCCAGGACTTGTGCCGAAGTCTGTTTCTAATTTCTCCAAGATCATTGTTGGATTCACGGGGACTTGCTCTACTTTGCATCTCAGTACTTGAACACCGATTAAAAATAAATGCGACATCAAAACTTTTGCCTCGCTGCCTTCCGCGCTGCGCTTCGATGCTTTTCGGTTGCTCCATGTCAAATCAGCGTCTTTCTTCGCTAGTGAAGCATAACTTCTTACGTGCTCTACATAAGCCTATTAAAAAGGTTCTCCAAATGTCGTTTCATTGTCTTCTGATTTGAAACGCAGAAACTGAATTCGTCATTGTTCCTATTGTTTACGTAAGGTGATTTTAAAACTCGCGTGGTTTCTACGCGACGCACCGTTAAGGCCGCGCGCGCTTGACGTCAAACGTTTAAAATGTCTAAAATCTCTTCGCGCTGCCATTATTTCTTTTGTTTTTTTGTGTTTTTGATATTTCAAGAACGTTGTTAAAATTTGACTTTATTTTCATTGAAGGGTGATAAAAACTTTCTCCGTTTCTCGACTATTCCCAGGGTCCCTTTTAAGATTTCTCCTATTTAGTATAAAAATATATATTTTTTGAAGTTGTTTTTTTTACAAAAAGACTTCGAATTCGACAGGTAGTTTTGAAAAAAGTTGCGGTTCACTCATTAGGTTAGACCGCTTTTTTAAAAACTCGCCAAAGTCTCGTACCTTGTAGTTCTTATTATAACACCGTATGGTAAATAACCAAAATTCGCTCAAATCTCGTTCTAACACCTCAGGATGAGAAGGAATAACGGCACTGAATGTTCAAGAGTGTCAGCCTATTCGATGAATTACCCACACGTTGATCAGTTTCAATTTCATCTCCTTATCTCCATACAAACTCTAACGTTACGCGCGCGTAAACAGTGATACCAGGGCGGCAAAAGTACATATAAGCGCCCTGATGATACCACAGCAAAGGTAGCGTCCACACTTCACTAAAGAAATTTGAAAACGCAACTTTATTTCTACGGTCAGGCCTACCGTCCACTCTAATCCGTCTTGAAAACGGAGCTTTTCGAAAACGCTTTTCAAACCGGAGGAATTTGAAAACGCCAGCTGCTCGTTTTCTTGTGGAAGGAAAACTTTTCGAAGCGGAGCTTTTCGAAAATGATGACGTCACGATAATCATGTGATTTCTCTGACCGAATTTTCCTCAAACACAAATCCAAAATGACCGGCGATTGTTGCGGTGCAGTGTGGACGGAAAACATTGATGCGTTTTCAGAGTGAAACCTCCGTTTTCAAATTCCCCAGGCGTCGGGTGGACGGTGCCTAATTCTGCAATTTATTGGCATCTGCTCTCCCACCATGCATTGTGCTACTAGATCTGCAGTCTACCAACATATCTGAAATATTATGTCTGAAATATACTACATATATTTAATATACTAAAAGGAGACATCAAAATAATGCAATGCAAACATAAGGTAAGCCACTGTTATTTAAATTATTTTCTACGCGTAGCATTTAGAGCAATCTTCGAAGCATTCTCGTACATTGATTGTCTTGTAAACGGCTAAAATCGTAACGCAATCGCCAGCAGCATAATGTCACGTTTCAATCGAGCTCAGCGTCTGGACCGCCTGTGTTTATGTTTGGTGGCAACCTACCTTAGTCCCGTCCCGACTGAAGAACTTTCAGCGGCCGGGCTAAGCATTAAAAGAGACGAGGAACCAGAACAAAAGTAATTTTTTCCAGGTGACTCAAACCGCAGCGCGGATGCACTGGGCATGACTTCCTTTTGTGGCGCGCGCCAGATCGAGGCGACAACTTTGGCGCGTTTTTCAGGCGATGTGATATTCCGCAGCGAGCTTCGTGTTGTTTCCTCGAATGTTTTGATCTTTTTTCACGATCTTCGNTTAGCCTCACATTCATGTAAAGAAAATCCTTTGTCTTGAAACATGAGTACGAGACTAAGGATGTATAAACTATTGCCATTCAAATTCAGGCGCCATTTATGCAAAGGATCTATTAACCCGCAAAAACACAATTATTACAATAAAGTACGATTGAAACTGCTTACATAAAAATGGAAATTAGAATTACTACCTCCGAACAGGGAACTGACACTAAGTACATTATAATTTACCTCATGGTGGCATTTGTAATGTTCTGGATCAAACATTAAATTCTCCATAGCACCCTTGGCGGCAGCACTTTTTAAGCTGAGTGTAGCATCAGAAGTGACTTGCTCGTATTGACCTTTCTCCATTGCGTAATGCACGATGCTCCGAAACGCCGTGTTACACGTTAAGATCTAGAAGAGACGTCAGTCAGAGAAAGCATTCAACGTAAAAGGTTCATTTCTAGCACCAAAATAAAACTCGCAAAAGTACAGAATTGCTATTGGTAGGATGTGAAGATGGCGAACGGGAAATGGATTGTAAAGTGCAACCTAAAGCTCCTGTTTTCAGACCAGTTGGTGCTAGATTAATGTGAAACGGTTTGAATCTGAGAAAATCTTCCTTATCTGATTTTATCGCATAAAATCCCATAAAACATCATGCTTCGGTTTTATTTGTGAAATGTAATTATCGGCGAGGACAAAGATGGAGCTTTATTTGTTAAGTGATTACTTAATGAGGATTGAACCAAAGAAATTATTTTATGTAACAGGTAACGATGAGGTCGTAGTTGAATCGATAAACTTACCAGCCTTACAACACGCCTGAATCGATCCAGAGGCTGAAAAAATAAAATATAGTATTACCTGTGATATTAAAAGTCAAATCAGATGAAAAAGGCTTGCACATAAACCTACCACCTACTGCGCACCAGTATATTGAGCTTGGATGGTATTAGGTATGGGGCTCCGCTCGCGCGTCTTCCGCGCGCAGGCGCTCCGCTATTAAAATACTCCAAGTTCATCTGCTTTTAAGCAAATTAAATGCTGCATCTAAATTTTTTATCGCCAAGTATCACAGAAAATTAGCTGTCTGTTTCCGGACTAGCGTGAAGTTTTCTGAGATTCAGTTTAAAACTAAAAGACAAACCGGAGGCTACAAAGAAACAGGAACATAAAGTTTGGCTGGTGTGGAAATGAAAAGGGATTCAAAGATTAAAATATTTAGGGTACAAAAAACAAAAAGAATTAACTAATATATATTTGTGTGTGTATTGGAAAATTCGGACCGCTAAGAGAACCAATCAGAATTTTCCTTTTTATCGCAGACCAGTTTAGCCATACAATAAAGGTTTGTAATCATTGGTTTACATTTGTGGTCATTGATGTCTTCGTTTATAGTAACGCTGAGGTAGTCGCTGAAGAAACCATTAGATTCTTCCGCGTATAAAACAGCAAGGTACATGATAACACTCTACAAACCTGCAGCTTCTCTTTGCTTTTCCTCCGAAGGTCTGCCTGTGAAACGAAATAGTTTATTGTTTACATTTTATATATATATTTTATTTGAACAATAGAACATAACTCGCATAGCTACCCATTGAAAAAATAACATGAACACAATTGAATTGATAAAGCTGAAAATACTACTTCGAGTATACCGGTAATTACATTTTCGGTGGCTTCTGTCCACCTTAAACAGGGCTACAATATAAAAAGGTTCGTTACTGCTACCGCTATAAAAACATTATTTAAATTACTAAGATGTAAAATGGCTCAAGCTCTTTGGAAAAAGAAACGTTTTCTACCTTTATCTATTTCAAGTCCGAGTACGGGAATTTTTCTGGTATTTGTTATAGCTTGACGGATCAGTGATAACCCGCGAAGAAAGCATCGGCATTAGTTGTCGGGTCAGAAAAAGACCTTTATGTAGTTGTTCCAAGCGCTGGGCCAGACGCTAGACGTAGCCTTGGGCAAAAAACAAATCCGATTACTTGTAATCGCGGCTTTGTTACAAGAAATGAAAGTACAGATCAAAACAAAGCGCCAATACAAACATCTTAATTCTCGAGGGTGTTGAAAGCTTTTGTATCAACATAATCGCGTGAATGTTATTCAAGGTTATTTTATTGACATTTTTATCATCGCAAAACTTGATATATTATTGGCTTTTTATGCCGTTGTTTATCAAGTAAGCGATAAATTTCTCTCATTTAAAGATTCCCTGCAGTGCAGCAGTCTGTGACTATAGTCTTGTTCGTTTTTTGCAGTCCAGTCCCTCATATATCAGACTGAAGAACCTGGCCGTCATTTGGTGAAGTCATTTGATTAAAGCAAGCAACCCTTTTCTCGTATTTCCTGATTGAATTGTTCGGAGATGTTGAAAGAAAGCCGTCATCAAAGTCTCGGAATCTAAACTTATGATTACTTACGACTGTCTTCACCTTCGTGGAAGCATGCATAGCACCCACATGAAAATTACTTCATGTGGAAAAAAGCCATCAATATAGAACAATTATTTAAAGTATGTACAAATCGATCCTCTTAAATCCGAATCATGACCCGTTACATTCTTTCAAAGTCAGGAGCAATAATAAACTTCAGACAGAGCCGAACGTGACAAAATTCACAACACTATTGATTTCGATGGATATTTACACTCACTAACTGCTTGCATGATATATTTTTCTCTCTTAAGTTAACAAAAAGATTGAACAGTGTTATAAATTGTTTAGATAACTGACAAACTTTTGTCACGCGATTTCGCAGAATTCACGCGAACAAATGAAGACTGAAACATGGTTGTTCGCGCTGAGTATATACATGCACATGAGTGAACTATTATAGCCAGTTTGGATTGTAAATCAAGAGTACAAGTTTTTTCTTCAGTAGTTGGATTGAAAACGTGCTAAAGAAAAAACACCGTTGACTAATTGCGCCGGTTCGCCCCAGGGTTCGTGCACGCTTGTTGTTGTTAGATACCATAGATACAGCAAGGTTTAATCCTCTGAGCAATTTGCGCTCACAATTTTTCCAACAGGCTTACCTGCTTTTTCTCGTATTCTCTCAACCACTTTTTAGGTACATTCATCTTCATGTAATCGACAAATCGCCCTGTTTTGTGTCTTTCAAACTGATGCCCGTTATACCTGGTAGGGTGTGAAGACCTGCGGTCATCAAACGACAGCTTGGACGAGACAGATCTCTTTTTCTCGGTTTGCAAAGAGCTCCTTCTAGTCCCACCAATCACCCAGGACTTGTGCCGAAGTCTGTTTCTAATTTCTCCAAGATCATTGTTGGATTCACGGGGACTTGCTCTACTTTGCATCTCAGTACTTGAACACCGATTAAAAATAAATGCGACATCAAAACTTTTGCCTCGCTGCCTTCCGCGCTGCGCTTCGATGCTTTTCGGTTGCTCCATGTCAAATCAGCGTCTTTCTTCGCTAGTGAAGCATAACTTCTTACGTGCTCTACATAAGCCTATTAAAAAGGTTCTCCAAATGTCGTTTCATTGTCTTCTGATTTGAAACGCAGAAACTGAATTCGTCATTGTTCCTATTGTTTACGTAAGGTGATTTTAAAACTCGCGTGGTTTCTACGCGACGCACCGTTAAGGCCGCGCGCGCTTGACGTCAAACGTTTAAAATGTCTAAAATCTCTTCGCGCTGCCATTATTTCTTTTGTTTTTTTGTGTTTTTGATATTTCAAGAACGTTGTTAAAATTTGACTTTATTTTCATTGAAGGGTGATAAAAACTTTCTCCGTTTCTCGACTATTCCCAGGGTCCCTTTTAAGATTTCTCCTATTTAGTATAAAAATATATATTTTTTGAAGTTGTTTTTTTTACAAAAAGACTTCGAATTCGACAGGTAGTTTTGAAAAAAGTTGCGGTTCACTCATTAGGTTAGACCGCTTTTTTAAAAACTCGCCAAAGTCTCGTACCTTGTAGTTCTTATTATAACACCGTATGGTAAATAACCAAAATTCGCTCAAATCTCGTTCTAACACCTCAGGATGAGAAGGAATAACGGCACTGAATGTTCAAGAGTGTCAGCCTATTCGATGAATTACCCACACGTTGATCAGTTTCAATTTCATCTCCTTATCTCCATACAAACTCTAACGTTACGCGCGCGTAAACAGTGATACCAGGGCGGCAAAAGTACATATAAGCGCCCTGATGATACCACAGCAAAGGTAGCGTCCACACTTCACTAAAGAAATTTGAAAACGCAACTTTATTTCTACGGTCAGGCCTACCGTCCACTCTAATCCGTCTTGAAAACGGAGCTTTTCGAAAACGCTTTTCAAACCGGAGGAATTTGAAAACGCCAGCTGCTCGTTTTCTTGTGGAAGGAAAACTTTTCGAAGCGGAGCTTTTCGAAAATGATGACGTCACGATAATCATGTGATTTCTCTGACCGAATTTTCCTCAAACACAAATCCAAAATGACCGGCGATTGTTGCGGTGCAGTGTGGACGGAAAACATTGATGCGTTTTCAGAGTGAAACCTCCGTTTTCAAATTCCCCAGGCGTCGGGTGGACGGTGCCTAATTCTGCAATTTATTGGCATCTGCTCTCCCACCATGCATTGTGCTACTAGATCTGCAGTCTACCAACATATCTGAAATATTATGTCTGAAATATACTACATATATTTAATATACTAAAAGGAGACATCAAAATAATGCAATGCAAACATAAGGTAAGCCACTGTTATTTAAATTATTTTCTACGCGTAGCATTTAGAGCAATCTTCGAAGCATTCTCGTACATTGATTGTCTTGTAAACGGCTAAAATCGTAACGCAATCGCCAGCAGCATAATGTCACGTTTCAATCGAGCTCAGCGTCTGGACCGCCTGTGTTTATGTTTGGTGGCAACCTACCTTAGTCCCGTCCCGACTGAAGAACTTTCAGCGGCCGGGCTAAGCATTAAAAGAGACGAGGAACCAGAACAAAAGTAATTTTTTCCAGGTGACTCAAACCGCAGCGCGGATGCACTGGGCATGACTTCCTTTTGTGGCGCGCGCCAGATCGAGGCGACAACTTTGGCGCGTTTTTCAGGCGATGTGATATTCCGCAGCGAGCTTCGTGTTGTTTCCTCGAATGTTTTGATCTTTTTTCACGATCTTCGCCTGGGAAATCTTACTTTAGGCGCTATTTTCATGCCCACATGGTGGTCTGTTGCTTGTAGACGAAGGTAAGTCAGCTCGAATCCGGAGAATGGAGTACAACTTGGCTCGAAGAAATCTTGGGGAAAATAGAATGTCTTGTCGATCGTTTTTGTTCTCGTTAACTTTTATTTATGCTATTTATTCGCAATGTAATAGATTTGCGACTAAAATAGCATCGTGTTTTGTATTTAAATTTGATATGATCGTTGTGTCAATTGCAGTAGTTATATTGTGGATCGGTGGAGTACATTTTGTTGTGTTCATTTCCCGGTACATTTACAATCTAGTTAACTTCACATTTTCACTTAAGCTTATGTGCGGTGATCTTAAGCAGTCCCCTTTGATTATTTTATGGCATAGAGTTATAGAGATGGAAAATCTTAACGACTTAGGGGAGTACCTTAACACGGAAATCGTTTGTACCCTGGCCGGTCTTGGTTACTCAGAGGGAAGCGATTACTACAAAAGTCCGGACTGTCTCGGTAGGTTGGATATGCTTAAAACCTTTGATCCACGAGGCGATAGCCTCGTGGATCTGTAGACTACGTTGACAATGCTATGACGAAATTCATTGTCAATAACAGGACAGACGCGTTAAAAACTGACGTCAATTTGGTTTTTTACGGTAGCAAAGTGTCAAGTTGTCTGCTCTTGCTTGTTGATGCATGGTATAAATAAATTCATGTGTCTGTCTGCTTATTGACAATAAAAATTAGCCAATGAGCACGTGAGAATTTCTGCAGTTATCGTAAAAATAGTCGACTGTTGAGGGACTAGACTGGCATGGGGTTTGACATGGACTTATGTTGAATTGTGGGAAGTGCTGTGAAAACGGAAGCTCTGAATATTTTTTCAGACACTTGTCAGGAAGAATTCATCCATTTAATTCAGCTGAACATGTTTAAACAAACCGTCTGTGACAGTTGTGGTGTAGGTTTGATTTCGCCTATTCTAATTCCCTCATCAAATGTCACAAAAGATATATCTCCCAGCTACTATGTGCACTTTGATTAGTCAATTTAGTGGGAAATATTCTGCCGTAAGGTTCGCCAAAATACAGTATTGGAACTGGTTTTATCTGCAAAATTATTAATCATTGTCTCTGCGTTACAACGCCCAAGCCATCATCTATCACAGTTTTGGTCTTTTTCCAGAGAGCCTCAAGGATTTGGTAAGATTCTTACGCCGTGATGACACCACTTGTGAGATAAGACGTCAGCTTGGTTATTCAGAAGTCTTACAAAATGTATGTAGTTTTTTGCTAAAAATATCATTACTTGTAATTATAATAATGGCATTGCAATGATCAAATTCATGACATAAGTCAGATACAGTTGAATCTGGCTGTTGGACTCTAAGAGGAAAGCAAACATCTGGTTGAAATAGCAAGGGTTCAAAACGACTGGGTCAGCATTTAAATATAATTATTAACATGTGAGTGTTGTTAAAAGGTTGTTGCATGCAAATGATGACGAATATATGGGTCATGTGTACTAAAGGCATCCATAGTCGAGTGTCGATCGACACCCTTGATCGACATCTCAACTGATACTCGGTCAATACTTGATCATCATCTCAGTTGACAGTTGGTAGAGAGTCTACTTATTGTCACTGAGACTCCATCGAGTGTGGATTGATACATATCAGTCAGCCGGCATGTGGCCAACTATTGATCAACTGTCGATCACGTGTAGATTAAGTGTTGATCGAGATGTTGATCGCATGTCTGTCTAGTGTCGACTGAGTATCAATTGAGATGTCAATCAAGGGTATCAATCGACACATGACTGCGGATGTCTTTAGTACGTACGATCCTAATATCTAACCAATAGATATTCGGATTCAAAGGTACAAAATGCAATTATTTCCATTGACATTGCTATGGCAATGGCAGATACATTAGGTAAACTATGAAAACACCAAAGTCTGCGCTGTTAACTTGCATCCAGCCATTTTAGGCAACCAAAGGATCTTGATCTTTAGCAAAAAATGTGAATGAAACACAGGTATCAAAACTGTGTTTGCCACCTTAGCAGGAATTGGGTGGAAATTCTTTTGTCTGGCTATTAGAAACTGTATGGATTGATCAGTCGGTGATAGTGAGGCTTACATGTATGGACTGAGTGAACTGAGAACCAAAGATGTTTCCGTCTTGCATGAATATGTTTACCAACTCAGTCAACATGCTTATATTGTATTTTGCATGTTCCTGCTCTTTTACACAAAACTGTAAATAATGATTACTCTTTCAGGATCTTGTGGCAATTCTTAAAAGCTGTTCTTCTAAAGAGAGGGAAATATTTGACATGGTTATAAGGTATGTAATGCACTGCATGATGTTGTTAATCATACTATACTGATCATTATTCAGATACAGTTTCCATTACCCTTATTGTTTAGGTATCTTGCATTTTACATGTTAAAGTACCTCAGTACTCTGTATAGTGACACAAATTTCAAAAAAAAGTAAGCTGTTTAATTTTGCAAGAATGTGCTTTGAGCTGCGTGTACCTCATGGTTGTTTTTATTAGAAGAAAGCAGGTGTCAGTCAGTCACCTTTTTACACCTCAGTGTACTGACAACTGTCGTGAAAAAATTATCTTGATTTTGTAGCACATTAATTTGTTTTTTGTTTGTTTTTCTCAGGTTAATGGTCAATTTGACTCAGCCAGCAGTGCTTTGTTTTGGAAATAATATTCCAGATGACAAAACAGGCCAGCACTATTACTTGGACATTGTAACTCAACTGCAGTCATATAAAGAGGTACCTGCACATATTATTTTATATCAACAGTTGCTTGACTGATCTGTGAAACCCTACCATTGTATTAGGTCCTGTGAGTCGCGTGTTTAAATTATCCAATATAGTAACCGTCAAATGTATAGTTGACAGTCTCATCTCAAAACTTGATCCTCGATGCTCCATCCTTGATGCTTTCAAGTTTCATGTTTGGAGACACTTGTTTTGAATAGTTTTTAAGGAAAAGATTTATTTTTATATTTTAGTTCTTTGTTTCTTTGTTTTCTTGACTCAATCTCAAGCAGCTTGATTTGAAACTTAAACAACTTGCCTTGAAGTTCGATACTTGAAGATTTAGAGTTTTGAGGATTTAGTTCAGTCATTCAAGTTTTGATTGACAGTGAACTTACATTTGACCGGTACTGTAGAAAGCTGGCTTTGTCTTTAAAGTTACACATTGTTCTTGTTATCTCTTGTAAATGCAGGCATTCACAGAAAAAGAAGTGATGTCAGTGATTGGGCGAGAGCTTGGAAGACTGCTTCAGATGGTGTGAACTCATACATGCTTGTTAATTAACTTTGCACTTGCCTTTTCTGAGCAGAACTGTTTTTTTTTTTTTAAAAGGGCAGAGGAAAATGTAACACTCTAGCTACTGTATCCCTCAATTCCTGGACACTACTGTTTCCACTGATAAAGTGATGATTGTTTTATGCATGTTTAATATTTGTCAGGAATGGGATGACCGCCTAGAAGATGACTCACTGTTGATTGAGAGAATTCTGTTGTTGATAAGAAACATTCTTCACGTACCAGCAAACAAGCAAGCAGAAAAGGTAAATTCTTGTAGAAACCGGAATAAGCTCTGGCAAGATAGGCTGCTGTTCTGAAGTAGACTACCTTTTTGTTTATTTGTTATCATTATTTAGTCCTTTGATCTTGGCAACTTCCAAGACTTGTGTTGCTGCAGTGTTTTTTTATGCAACAGATATAATTGTTTTATTTACTGAGCGTTCAGCAAAGGTAAATCTGCAGAGAAGAAAGCATGATCATGTTGATGTAAGAACATCTGTTTGTTGAAGGCAAGAGTTGTTTCTAAGCCTCCCCAGTGGGAGGGATCATCCCTCATGTCTTTTTCCCTATAATTTGTCTGTTGTTGTTGTTGTCAGATGGCCAAAGAGGTCGACATAGTTATGACAGACATGAGTGTATGATTTATGAGTTTATTGATAAAANTTATAGTAACGCTGAGGTAGTCGCTGAAGAAACCATTAGATTCTTCCGCGTATAAAACAGCAAGGTACATGATAACACTCTACAAACCTGCAGCTTCTCTTTGCTTTTCCTCCGAAGGTCTGCCTGTGAAACGAAATAGTTTATTGTTTACATTTTATATATATATTTTATTTGAACAATAGAACATAACTCGCATAGCTACCCATTGAAAAAATAACATGAACACAATTGAATTGATAAAGCTGAAAATACTACTTCGAGTATACCGGTAATTACATTTTCGGTGGCTTCTGTCCACCTTAAACAGGGCTACAATATAAAAAGGTTCGTTACTGCTACCGCTATAAAAACATTATTTAAATTACTAAGATGTAAAATGGCTCAAGCTCTTTGGAAAAAGAAACGTTTTCTACCTTTATCTATTTCAAGTCCGAGTACGGGAATTTTTCTGGTATTTGTTATAGCTTGACGGATCAGTGATAACCCGCGAAGAAAGCATCGGCATTAGTTGTCGGGTCAGAAAAAGACCTTTATGTAGTTGTTCCAAGCGCTGGGCCAGACGCTAGACGTAGCCTTGGGCAAAAAACAAATCCGATTACTTGTAATCGCGGCTTTGTTACAAGAAATGAAAGTACAGATCAAAACAAAGCGCCAATACAAACATCTTAATTCTCGAGGGTGTTGAAAGCTTTTGTATCAACATAATCGCGTGAATGTTATTCAAGGTTATTTTATTGACATTTTTATCATCGCAAAACTTGATATATTATTGGCTTTTTATGCCGTTGTTTATCAAGTAAGCGATAAATTTCTCTCATTTAAAGATTCCCTGCAGTGCAGCAGTCTGTGACTATAGTCTTGTTCGTTTTTTGCAGTCCAGTCCCTCATATATCAGACTGAAGAACCTGGCCGTCATTTGGTGAAGTCATTTGATTAAAGCAAGCAACCCTTTTCTCGTATTTCCTGATTGAATTGTTCGGAGATGTTGAAAGAAAGCCGTCATCAAAGTCTCGGAATCTAAACTTATGATTACTTACGACTGTCTTCACCTTCGTGGAAGCATGCATAGCACCCACATGAAAATTACTTCATGTGGAAAAAAGCCATCAATATAGAACAATTATTTAAAGTATGTACAAATCGATCCTCTTAAATCCGAATCATGACCCGTTACATTCTTTCAAAGTCAGGAGCAATAATAAACTTCAGACAGAGCCGAACGTGACAAAATTCACAACACTATTGATTTCGATGGATATTTACACTCACTAACTGCTTGCATGATATATTTTTCTCTCTTAAGTTAACAAAAAGATTGAACAGTGTTATAAATTGTTTAGATAACTGACAAACTTTTGTCACGCGATTTCGCAGAATTCACGCGAACAAATGAAGACTGAAACATGGTTGTTCGCGCTGAGTATATACATGCACATGAGTGAACTATTATAGCCAGTTTGGATTGTAAATCAAGAGTACAAGTTTTTTCTTCAGTAGTTGGATTGAAAACGTGCTAAAGAAAAAACACCGTTGACTAATTGCGCCGGTTCGCCCCAGGGTTCGTGCACGCTTGTTGTTGTTAGATACCATAGATACAGCAAGGTTTAATCCTCTGAGCAATTTGCGCTCACAATTTTTCCAACAGGCTTACCTGCTTTTTCTCGTATTCTCTCAACCACTTTTTAGGTACATTCATCTTCATGTAATCGACAAATCGCCCTGTTTTGTGTCTTTCAAACTGATGCCCGTTATACCTGGTAGGGTGTGAAGACCTGCGGTCATCAAACGACAGCTTGGACGAGACAGATCTCTTTTTCTCGGTTTGCAAAGAGCTCCTTCTAGTCCCACCAATCACCCAGGACTTGTGCCGAAGTCTGTTTCTAATTTCTCCAAGATCATTGTTGGATTCACGGGGACTTGCTCTACTTTGCATCTCAGTACTTGAACACCGATTAAAAATAAATGCGACATCAAAACTTTTGCCTCGCTGCCTTCCGCGCTGCGCTTCGATGCTTTTCGGTTGCTCCATGTCAAATCAGCGTCTTTCTTCGCTAGTGAAGCATAACTTCTTACGTGCTCTACATAAGCCTATTAAAAAGGTTCTCCAAATGTCGTTTCATTGTCTTCTGATTTGAAACGCAGAAACTGAATTCGTCATTGTTCCTATTGTTTACGTAAGGTGATTTTAAAACTCGCGTGGTTTCTACGCGACGCACCGTTAAGGCCGCGCGCGCTTGACGTCAAACGTTTAAAATGTCTAAAATCTCTTCGCGCTGCCATTATTTCTTTTGTTTTTTTGTGTTTTTGATATTTCAAGAACGTTGTTAAAATTTGACTTTATTTTCATTGAAGGGTGATAAAAACTTTCTCCGTTTCTCGACTATTCCCAGGGTCCCTTTTAAGATTTCTCCTATTTAGTATAAAAATATATATTTTTTGAAGTTGTTTTTTTTACAAAAAGACTTCGAATTCGACAGGTAGTTTTGAAAAAAGTTGCGGTTCACTCATTAGGTTAGACCGCTTTTTTAAAAACTCGCCAAAGTCTCGTACCTTGTAGTTCTTATTATAACACCGTATGGTAAATAACCAAAATTCGCTCAAATCTCGTTCTAACACCTCAGGATGAGAAGGAATAACGGCACTGAATGTTCAAGAGTGTCAGCCTATTCGATGAATTACCCACACGTTGATCAGTTTCAATTTCATCTCCTTATCTCCATACAAACTCTAACGTTACGCGCGCGTAAACAGTGATACCAGGGCGGCAAAAGTACATATAAGCGCCCTGATGATACCACAGCAAAGGTAGCGTCCACACTTCACTAAAGAAATTTGAAAACGCAACTTTATTTCTACGGTCAGGCCTACCGTCCACTCTAATCCGTCTTGAAAACGGAGCTTTTCGAAAACGCTTTTCAAACCGGAGGAATTTGAAAACGCCAGCTGCTCGTTTTCTTGTGGAAGGAAAACTTTTCGAAGCGGAGCTTTTCGAAAATGATGACGTCACGATAATCATGTGATTTCTCTGACCGAATTTTCCTCAAACACAAATCCAAAATGACCGGCGATTGTTGCGGTGCAGTGTGGACGGAAAACATTGATGCGTTTTCAGAGTGAAACCTCCGTTTTCAAATTCCCCAGGCGTCGGGTGGACGGTGCCTAATTCTGCAATTTATTGGCATCTGCTCTCCCACCATGCATTGTGCTACTAGATCTGCAGTCTACCAACATATCTGAAATATTATGTCTGAAATATACTACATATATTTAATATACTAAAAGGAGACATCAAAATAATGCAATGCAAACATAAGGTAAGCCACTGTTATTTAAATTATTTTCTACGCGTAGCATTTAGAGCAATCTTCGAAGCATTCTCGTACATTGATTGTCTTGTAAACGGCTAAAATCGTAACGCAATCGCCAGCAGCATAATGTCACGTTTCAATCGAGCTCAGCGTCTGGACCGCCTGTGTTTATGTTTGGTGGCAACCTACCTTAGTCCCGTCCCGACTGAAGAACTTTCAGCGGCCGGGCTAAGCATTAAAAGAGACGAGGAACCAGAACAAAAGTAATTTTTTCCAGGTGACTCAAACCGCAGCGCGGATGCACTGGGCATGACTTCCTTTTGTGGCGCGCGCCAGATCGAGGCGACAACTTTGGCGCGTTTTTCAGGCGATGTGATATTCCGCAGCGAGCTTCGTGTTGTTTCCTCGAATGTTTTGATCTTTTTTCACGATCTTCGCCTGGGAAATCTTACTTTAGGCGCTATTTTCATGCCCACATGGTGGTCTGTTGCTTGTAGACGAAGGTAAGTCAGCTCGAATCCGGAGAATGGAGTACAACTTGGCTCGAAGAAATCTTGGGGAAAATAGAATGTCTTGTCGATCGTTTTTGTTCTCGTTAACTTTTATTTATGCTATTTATTCGCAATGTAATAGATTTGCGACTAAAATAGCATCGTGTTTTGTATTTAAATTTGATATGATCGTTGTGTCAATTGCAGTAGTTATATTGTGGATCGGTGGAGTACATTTTGTTGTGTTCATTTCCCGGTACATTTACAATCTAGTTAACTTCACATTTTCACTTAAGCTTATGTGCGGTGATCTTAAGCAGTCCCCTTTGATTATTTTATGGCATAGAGTTATAGAGATGGAAAATCTTAACGACTTAGGGGAGTACCTTAACACGGAAATCGTTTGTACCCTGGCCGGTCTTGGTTACTCAGAGGGAAGCGATTACTACAAAAGTCCGGACTGTCTCGGTAGGTTGGATATGCTTAAAACCTTTGATAGTTAACAAATTGACATCAGTTCTTCATGCGTCTGTCCTGTTATTGATCATGAATTTCGTCATAACATTGTCAAAGTAGCTGTGGATCCACGAGGCAATAGCCGAGTAGATCTGCAGACTACTTTGACAATGTTATGACGAAATTCATTGTCGATAACAGGACAGACGCGTTAAAAACTGACGTCAATTTGTTTTTTTACGGTAGCAAAGTGTCAAGTTGTCCGCTCTCGCTTGTTGATGCATGGTATAAATAAATTCATGCATCTGTCTGCTTATTGACAATAAGAATTAGCCAATGAGCGCGTGAGAATTTCTGCAGTTATCGTAAAAATAGAAATAGACTGTTATAATAAATAATAATAACCTTTATTTACCCTCGGCAGTGTTATAGCACAGGTGCTAGAGGGGCCGAGCATTGACCCTGTTGAGGGACTAGACTGGCATGGGGTTTGACATGGACTTATGTTGAATTGTGGGAAGTGCTGTGAAAACGGAAGCTCTGAATATTTTTTCAGACACTTGTCAGGAAGAATTCATCCATTTAATTCAGCTGAACATGTTTAAACAAACCGTCTGTGACAGTTGTGGTGTAGGTTTGATTTCGCCTATTCTAATTCCCTCATCAAATGTCACAAAAGATATATCTCCCAGCTACTATGTGCACTTTGATTAGTCAATTTAGTGGGAAATATTCTGCCGTAAGGTTCGCCAAAATACAGTATTGGAACTGGTTTTATCTGCAAAATTATTAATCATTGTCTCTGCGTTACAACGCCCAAGCCATCATCTATCACAGTTTTGGTCTTTTTCCAGAGAGCCTCAAGGATTTGGTAAGATTCTTACGCCGTGATGACACCACTTGTGAGATAAGACGTCAGCTTGGTTATTCAGAAGTCTTACAAAATGTATGTAGTTTTTTGCTAAAAATATCATTACTTGTAATTATAATAATGGCATTGCAATGATCAAATTCATGACATAAGTCAGATACAGTTGAATCTGGCTGTTGGACTCTAAGAGGAAAGCAAACATCTGGTTGAAATAGCAAGGGTTCAAAACGACTGGGTCAGCATTTAAATATAATTATTAACATGTGAGTGTTGTTAAAAGGTTGTTGCATGCAAATGATGACGAATATATGGGTCATGTGTACTAAAGGCATCCATAGTCGAGTGTCGATCGACACCCTTGATCGACATCTCAACTGATACTCGGTCAATACTTGATCATCATCTCAGTTGACAGTTGGTAGAGAGTCTACTTATTGTCACTGAGACTCCATCGAGTGTGGATTGATACATATCAGTCAGCCGGCATGTGGCCAACTATTGATCAACTGTCGATCACGTGTAGATTAAGTGTTGATCGAGATGTTGATCGCATGTCTGTCTAGTGTCGACTGAGTATCAATTGAGATGTCAATCAAGGGTATCAATCGACACATGACTGCGGATGTCTTTAGTACGTACGATCCTAATATCTAACCAATAGATATTCGGATTCAAAGGTACAAAATGCAATTATTTCCATTGACATTGCTATGGCAATGGCAGATACATTAGGTAAACTATGAAAACACCAAAGTCTGCGCTGTTAACTTGCATCCAGCCATTTTAGGCAACCAAAGGATCTTGATCTTTAGCAAAAAATGTGAATGAAACACAGGTATCAAAACTGTGTTTGCCACCTTAGCAGGAATTGGGTGGAAATTCTTTTGTCTGGCTATTAGAAACTGTATGGATTGATCAGTCGGTGATAGTGAGGCTTACATGTATGGACTGAGTGAACTGAGAACCAAAGATGTTTCCGTCTTGCATGAATATGTTTACCAACTCAGTCAACATGCTTATATTGTATTTTGCATGTTCCTGCTCTTTTACACAAAACTGTAAATAATGATTACTCTTTCAGGATCTTGTGGCAATTCTTAAAAGCTGTTCTTCTAAAGAGAGGGAAATATTTGACATGGTTATAAGGTATGTAATGCACTGCATGATGTTGTTAATCATACTATACTGATCATTATTCAGATACAGTTTCCATTACCCTTATTGTTTAGGTATCTTGCATTTTACATGTTAAAGTACCTCAGTACTCTGTATAGTGACACAAATTTCAAAAAAAAGTAAGCTGTTTAATTTTGCAAGAATGTGCTTTGAGCTGCGTGTACCTCATGGTTGTTTTTATTAGAAGAAAGCAGGTGTCAGTCAGTCACCTTTTTACACCTCAGTGTACTGACAACTGTCGTGAAAAAATTATCTTGATTTTGTAGCACATTAATTTGTTTTTTGTTTGTTTTTCTCAGGTTAATGGTCAATTTGACTCAGCCAGCAGTGCTTTGTTTTGGAAATAATATTCCAGATGACAAAACAGGCCAGCACTATTACTTGGACATTGTAACTCAACTGCAGTCATATAAAGAGGTACCTGCACATATTATTTTATATCAACAGTTGCTTGACTGATCTGTGAAACCCTACCATTGTATTAGGTCCTGTGAGTCGCGTGTTTAAATTATCCAATATAGTAACCGTCAAATGTATAGTTGACAGTCTCATCTCAAAACTTGATCCTCGATGCTCCATCCTTGATGCTTTCAAGTTTCATGTTTGGAGACACTTGTTTTGAATAGTTTTTAAGGAAAAGATTTATTTTTATATTTTAGTTCTTTGTTTCTTTGTTTTCTTGACTCAATCTCAAGCAGCTTGATTTGAAACTTAAACAACTTGCCTTGAAGTTCGATACTTGAAGATTTAGAGTTTTGAGGATTTAGTTCAGTCATTCAAGTTTTGATTGACAGTGAACTTACATTTGACCGGTACTGTAGAAAGCTGGCTTTGTCTTTAAAGTTACACATTGTTCTTGTTATCTCTTGTAAATGCAGGCATTCACAGAAAAAGAAGTGATGTCAGTGATTGGGCGAGAGCTTGGAAGACTGCTTCAGATGGTGTGAACTCATACATGCTTGTTAATTAACTTTGCACTTGCCTTTTCTGAGCAGAACTGTTTTTTTTTTTTTAAAAGGGCAGAGGAAAATGTAACACTCTAGCTACTGTATCCCTCAATTCCTGGACACTACTGTTTCCACTGATAAAGTGATGATTGTTTTATGCATGTTTAATATTTGTCAGGAATGGGATGACCGCCTAGAAGATGACTCACTGTTGATTGAGAGAATTCTGTTGTTGATAAGAAACATTCTTCACGTACCAGCAAACAAGCAAGCAGAAAAGGTAAATTCTTGTAGAAACCGGAATAAGCTCTGGCAAGATAGGCTGCTGTTCTGAAGTAGACTACCTTTTTGTTTATTTGTTATCATTATTTAGTCCTTTGATCTTGGCAACTTCCAAGACTTGTGTTGCTGCAGTGTTTTTTTATGCAACAGATATAATTGTTTTATTTACTGAGCGTTCAGCAAAGGTAAATCTGCAGAGAAGAAAGCATGATCATGTTGATGTAAGAACATCTGTTTGTTGAAGGCAAGAGTTGTTTCTAAGCCTCCCCAGTGGGAGGGATCATCCCTCATGTCTTTTTCCCTATAATTTGTCTGTTGTTGTTGTTGTCAGATGGCCAAAGAGGTCGACATAGTTATGACAGACATGAGTGTATGATTTATGAGTTTATTGATAAAA